AGATCGTCTCCGACCGGGGTTTGTCCAACTTTCTGAAACTTCTGCCATGGTGGAGAGTCCGCTGCCTCCCGCTCCAGAGTGTAACTTGTCTTCGAGTCAGAAAGATTTTCCTGAATCTGCCCTGCTGCAGATTCCGACCATCGCTGCTTCTCCTGCCTCGGGTGGAGGTGGTGTACAATTGACTCCCATCTCTATAGCAGCCTCCACAGAGCTGCAGACTGTTCTCAGGTCCCCCCTCAGTCGTCTTTTCTCAAGACTGAACATGCCCCGTTTTTGAGCCTTTCCTCCCAGGTCCGGTTTTCTAAACCTTCGATCAGTTTTGTGGCTCTCCTCTGCGCCCTCCAGTTTCTCCCCATCTTCCTTAAAGGCCTGGCCTCCCTCAGCCCCACACATCCCAGTCTTCCTGCATCCAGGTGGGCTCTGCCTGCTCCCCCTCTCCAGACCCAAGCCCCCCTGCTTCCCAGCTGGGCATCTGATACCCCCGGCCCCAAGCCCCCTCTGTCCATTGTCTTCTCTCCAGGTAAACAGGGTCATAAACAGTGTCGCCTGGGCCTCCTCTCCCCTCTTCTGTCCTCTGGCCCATCTGGCTGGAACCGGCTGGTCAGGTCACCGGGGTCCTCTCCCCGCAGCCCATTGTCCTCCCACTGGCCAGAACCGGCTGCGACTCCTGAGCTGGGTCTCCAGGTCGTCACCGGGGTCTCCATCCTCCAGGCCATCGGCTGGGGTCCCAAGTTCCCTCTCCGGTCCTGTGTCCCAATGAACTCTCTCTCCCCTCACCTCGGTAAACCAGCAACACCCAGGGGCACTGAGTCCCGCCCCTCTGCATGCAAACCATTGGAAAAAACAAGAAAATCCCCCACTCCGTCACATAGTGCAGTACCCAGAACTGGACACAGGACAGCTGGAGCCTCAGCAGTGCCGAGCAGAGCGTGACACTTCCACACAACTCTCCCAGGAATGTGCCCTCGTAGTGCACTTTTTTTGCGGCCGCATCGTTTTGTTGCCTCCTATTGAGTTTGTGGTCCGCTGTAAGCCCCAGACCCTATCCAGCAGTGCGACCCCCCCTCCCCCCGGCTAGTGCCCCTTTGTAACTGTGCATTTGGTTTTCCCTTCCTGACTCTCGTGCTTTGCACTCGTCTTTTCTGAATTTCATTGTGTTGATTTCAGATTCATTCTCCAATGTTGTCAAGCTCATTGTGAATTCTCATCCCGTCCTCCCACATGCTTGCAACCCCTCCCAGCTTGGTGTCCTCCACATCTTTTATAAGCATGCGCTCCGCTCCATTATCCCAGCCAGCAATGAACACACTGAGCGGTACCAGAGCCAGGCCCGACCCCTGCAGGATCCCACTAGATCCGCCCTCCTACTCTGACAGTGAGTCACTGCTCACTACTGTCTGAAGACGGCCTTTGAGCCTGTTGTACACCACCTTATAGTCCTTTCGTCTAGACCCTGCTTGTGAGAGTGTCATGTGGGTCTGTGTCAAAAGCCTCACTAAACTCAAGATCTCTCACATGACCTGCTTCCCCCATCCCTATCAGAGCGGGAAACTGGGCTGGCTTGGCATGACCTGTTCGTGACAGATCCATGCTGGCTGTTCCTTATCGCCCTGGTCTCCTCTGGGTGCTCTCAAGTTGATAGTTTAATAGCACGTTCCAGGGTCTGAAGTTGGTCTGACTGGTGTATAATTCCCCGGACTCCTGGGTTCTGTCCCAGCTCTGTCACTGACTCGCTGCGTGGCCCTGTGTAGGCCAGGCCAGGCGGCTGGGGACGGTGAGTCATGGTGATGGATGTCTCTCTCTCCAGGCGATTCCCACAGCGGGAGGAGAAGTTGCAGGTGCTCTACATTCGCATCGTGTCCCCCTTCCCCGAGATGGAGCAGTTCATTCAGGCCACCACCCAGAGGTAAGATGGGGCTGTATTTCCAGGTAGCTCCCCACCTCCCTGCAATGGAACCGCCCAGGCAGGCTGGGCTTCAGAGGCCCCTGGCACTTGCAGGCTGGTGAGCCTAACTTCAGTACCAGGCAAGTTGGTTGAAACAACAGTAGAGAGCAGAATGATCAGACCCAGAGCTGAATGGGACAGGTTGGGGAAGAGTCAACACGGCTTTTGTGAAGGGGAATCACGCCTCAGCACTATTCGAATTCTTTGAGGGGTCAACAACCGTATGGACAAGGGTGATCTAGTTGATATAATGAACTTGGACTTTCAGAAAGCCTTTGACGAGGTCCTCGCCAAAGGCTCTTAAGCAAAACACACAGTCATGAGATAAAAAAGGTCTGATCAGTAACTGGTTAAAAGATAGGAAATAAAGGTTAAGAATAAATGGTCAGTTTTCACAGTGGACAGAGGTAAATAGCAGGGTCCTCCAAGGATCTGTACTGGGACCAGAGTTGGTCAACATACTCATAAATGATCTGGAAAAAGGGGGTAAACGGTGAGGTAGCCAAGTTTGCAGACGATACTAAATTACTGGAGATCGTTAAGTCAAACAAGTTACAAAGGGATCTCACACCTGGGTGACATAGTAACAAAATGGCAGATGAAATTCCATGTTGACAAATGCAAAGTGATGCACATTGGAAAACATCATCCCAACTCTGCATACGCAATGATGGGGTGTAAACTCAAGAGAGATCTTGGAGTCATTGTGGGTAGTGCTCTGAAAACACCCACTCAGTGTGCAGTGTTGGGAATCCCCCGTGCCCTGGGTGTCCCTAAACCTCTGAGTGCCAAGAGCTGGGACTGGAGACGGGCTGGATCACTGGCTACTTGCCCTGTTCTGTTCATTCCCAGCGAAGCATCAGGCACGGGCCACTGTCGAGAGACAGAACACTGGGCTAGAGGGCCCATTGCTCAGACCCAGTCTGGCCGTTCATACATTCTTATGAACCAACCAGTTCATTGGGGTGGGGGCCTTGACATCCCCATGGGGCTTCCCCACCCTTCAATGTTGTGTCCCCTGCGGCTCTTTCTGCGTGCCAGGTACGACCTCCACCTCTGCGCAGTGCAGGGCCGCATCCAGCAGGCACTGGCAGACCTGAAGGCCCAGCACCCCCAGCTGCAGGCCGTGCTGATGGGGACGAGGAGGACTGACCCCTACTCCCGCACTCTGACGCCCATGTGTATGACCGACCCCGGCTGGCCCGAGTACATGCGGGTGAACCCCCTGCTGGTGCGTCATGGCGCTAGGGCTGCGACTAATGGGGCAGAGAAGTGTGGTTTGAATACAGGGCAGGGAGCCAGGACTCCTGGGTTCTATCCAGCTCTGGGAGGGCAGTTAGCTCTAGTGGGTTATAGCAGGGGGCTGGGAATCTGGTCTAAGGGATGAGACCTTAGTCCCGCCTCTCCTGTCCGGCACTTCCTCCTACCCCACCTCTCCCCTCCCCATGGCATCCCTCCCGCCTCCCCTGGGCAGCACTGCCTCCACCCCCCCTCAGACTCTAACCCCTGTGGGTTGTCTCAGGCCCTTCCCAGCAGCGATCCAGTCCCAAGCTAGTTCTCCGGACAGATCTTTCAGACAAGCCCCAAAAAACCTGGGCTAGGAGTTAAAGCTACTGTGTGCCTGTGTCCGCGCCCCGTGGTTCCCTGTCCTGCCTTGTGCCCACATCCGCATCCTGTGGCTCCCTGTCCTGCTGTGTGCCTGGGTCCGGGCTCTGTGGCTCCCTGTCCTGCCTTGTGCCCACGTCCGCATCCCGTGGCTCCCTGTCCTGCTGTGTGCCTGGGTCCGGGCTCTGTGGCTCCCTGTCCCGCCAGGTGTCCGGGTCCAGGCCCTGTGGCTCCCTGCCCTCCTGTGTGCCAAGTCTGGGCCCCGTGGCTCCCCACCCACCCCAGCTGGCCATGCTGAGGGGATGGTCGGTGTGCCGAGAGGGAAGGCCTTGGGGGGACAGTGACAGTCCCAGTGCCTTTGAGGAAGGGATGCCAGTGGCTTGGAGCAAGGACTGGCTGAGCCCCACACAGCCTCCCCCCCCCCCCGTGCCCATTGGGCTCACAGCCAGCTGGCCTCAAACGAGGGGAGGGGGAGCCAAGCGCCAAGGGCTCCGCACGGCTGCTGCAGTGACCTCTGTTCTGCCTCCAGGACTGGACGTACCGGGACATCTGGCAGTTCCTGCGCAGGCTCTTCGTCCCGTACTGCATCCTGTATGACAAGGGGTAAGAGCCCGGCTCGGGGGGCGCTATGCCTCCCCTCCCCCAACCCTGTCACTGCTCCCCGAGCCCTCGTCCAGAAGGACCGGCTGGGCTGGGCTCCATGGCCCGGGGGGTGGGCAGCTAGGGGTCCGTGTCAGTCGGGTGTTGCCCAGGATCTGGAGGGGCGGAGTGAGGGCTGGGCAGTGTGGGAGGGGAGCTGAGGAGGGGGCAGCGCGGTGCATGAGGTCAGATGCCTGGCCAGACTCGCCCCCATCCAGGATTGTGCAGGGGCTTTCTAGCACAGAAGGAGGCGCTGGGCAACGCCTGGCGTCTAGGACCCCTTGTGCCCCCGCCCTGCTCACAGCCCCCCTCCCCCTGTTGCAGCTACACCTCCTTGGGGAGCATGAGCAATACGCAGAAGAACCCGGCGCTGCGCTCCACCAACACGCTGGGCCAGGAGAGCTACCGGCCGGCCTACCTGCTGGAGAACGAAGACGAGGAGCGCACCTCGCGCCAGTGAGGCCCTGCCAGGCGGGCCCTGGCCACAAGAACCCCCCGCTCGGCGGTGAACTGGGCTGAGCGCGGGCTGCTCCCCTGGGACACCCACCCGCGGCCTGGGGCCCTGCCTCCCAGACACCTGGAGCAGCCGTGTGCCCCCCGCCCACTGGGCACTGCTGACTGGGGCATGCGGAGGGAGGGCCTGGGGGCCCTATGAATAAACCCACTGTACTCAGCCTCCTGCCTGTGTCTCCTGCCAGCACCGGCTCCCGGTGGGCTCAGAGCGGGGCCCCCACGGTGTGGGTCGGTGGGTACATGGCAGTCCGGCCTGAGGAGGGCGGAGGACTCTGGGAGATGGGATGTGCAGGGAATGTGACCCCTCCCTGGGCCCATTGGCAGGGTGCCCCCGGCCAGTGCTGCCTGGTCTCTGGCAGCCTCCGCTCCTGGCACCACATCTCCTCATCCGCACTCTCCCTGGGTGAGCGCCAGGGCCAGGCTCCCACTGGTGCCACCTGGCTGGGGCCCCATGCCCTGTCCGAGGGGGGGGTGGTCCTAGGGAGGCTGCGCCCCTTTTCCAGCAGGTTCAGTCTGGTTGGAGGCCAGGCCAGGCCCCCCGAGGGCAGGAGCGAGCAGACCAGGCCTGGCGCAGGCAGCAGCCCCTCCCCCACCCTGCCCGGGGCCCTATTCATGCAGCCCTTTGAGCTGCAAAGAATCCAGCTGCTTCCAGCTTCTGTCACGCGGCTCTCCCCTGCCCGCGGCAGGGCCCAGACCCGGCTCATCCCCACATGATGCATCTCCTGGGCAGACGCCTGGCCTGGCAGCCCCGGTCCCTGACCCGCTACCCCCTGGCGCAGCTGGCCCCGTACCCCCTGCGACGGGCGGTTCGGGGCATGGTGCTGCCGGGGCCCCTCCCCAAGGGTCCTGTGGGGCTGAATCGCAGCTTCTGGCTGTTGGACGTCCTGCGGGAGTGCGCCTACCTCCTGCTATGCTGCTGGTGCATCAAGGAACTGCTGGACTAGCCCCCCGCCCCCTCGTGTGCCGTGCTGCCGGGTGCTTGTCCTCCCAGCCCCTCCGCAGGGCTGGACCCACTGGCTGCACTCTGGGATCGCCTGACCCCTTGCTGCTTGGGGGGCCTGGAGCGGATGGAGCTCCCACCAGAGGGACCCTTTGGGACGCCCTGAGCCTGTAGGAGGTGGGTATGAACGTCCCCCGGCCTTGGCACTGCCCCCTGCCTAGCCAGCCCAGCGCTGGTCAGAGTGGGGCCAGGACCAGCGGGTGCCACCAGCCAGGCCGGGGAGTCTCTACCCCCAGCAGGCAAATCCACAAGTGTCTCCCCCAGCACCCTTGTCTGCGGCTAGCGACGGCCAACGGGTGAATGGGTCGGGCTGGCACGGCCACCCCAGGGCCGCGCAGTTCAGAGCCATCGCGTGGGGCTCCAAGGGCATCTTCCTTCCTTCCCAAATACCAGCATGCGGCAACCTAGCTCCCCCTCTGCCAGCAGGGCCTGGCACCTGACCTGGCCTGAGCGCCTCTTTCCCACGATGCCACAGGGGGTTGAGTGGGCAGCCAGGAGAAGCGGGCTCGGCTCAGCCCCTGGGCTGTGGGGCCCAGTGAGGGAGGTGGCACCTGGACTCCAGGCTGGGGGATGGGCTGTGTCCTCTGCTCAGGCACTGGGAGGTGCTGTCTCACGGGGTGGGGACGGGCTCTTTCCCCCCAGGTCTGTGGGCTGCAGGCTGCGTCCGAGCCACGGCTACTGGCTTTGTTTTCTCCCCTCTAGCTGGAATCCCGGCTCGCCAGCCCCGACAGGACGGGAATGGGACTTGACGGTGGATGCCTGGCCCCCGGCCCTGCGCTCCCCAATAAACCTGAGCAATGCGTGACCGCTCCGAGTGCTGACTGTGTGTGGGCTGGGGGTGCCTCTGACTGGGGCTGGGCCCCAGGTGGCTCCATCCGCCTGCTTCAGCTGCCCTGATACCAGGCCCAATGCACCTTCCAAACATCTACCCCGGCTGGGCCTGGGAGCTGGTGGGGGGAAGGGGGGCAGGGCCCACGGCGGCCAAGTCTCTGGGCCGAGTTTCCTGCAAAGCTCCTGCTGTTTATCCAACTTTTCCTTCCTGTGTTTGGGACATTATCAGCGTGGTCCCAGCCCCCTCCCCCAGCCAGCCCCCACTTGGGCGGGCAGGAGTCCCTCGCCCAGCACACTGGGCCGCTGCTCAGAGTGAAGCTGGCATGGGCAAGGAAACGAGGAATGACCTGGGACGGGGGCTCTGCACAGCTCACAGGGGGCCAAATGCCCTGGGCCAGGACATGGCTCGACCCCCAGAGGGAGCATCTGTCCCCCCTCTGCCATGGAGCCCCGGCGCTGGGCAGGGGATGGGCCCCTGGGCCTGAGCACCAGGATGTCGGGGTTCTTGTGCCAGCCCAGGGGTACCACAACTGGCATCGGAACCCCCCACTGCCTCCCGCAGCACCGGGGGCCCCGGGAGGGCTCGGGCAGGGCCGTGCTGTAGCACCTTTGTCTGAGGGTCCCAGGAGTCCTGGTTCCCAGGCTACCCCTGCTCTAACTGCTAGCCCTTATGCTCTTTCCAGACACAGGGATAGAACCCAGGATTCCTGGCTCCCAGCCCCCACTGCTCTCACCACTAGCCCCTGCTGCCAGTCCTCCCCTCCCCTCCCTTTATCTGGCTGTGACTCAGTTCCTTGTTTAGAGAGCTGCTTTCTCGGCCTGTCTCCACTCCAGGCTGTTTCCTGTCGCCTGCCCCCCAAAGATCCCGCCCGTGGCTCTGCCAAGAGCCGGGGGAAGCTGCAGAGGCGGGAATGCACCCAGCGGGCCAGACTGGCTGGAGCTCCGGCAAAGGTCACAGACCGACCGGCCACTGACCGGCAGCTTGGCGTGCACCAGGCCCTGCAGGGCCTCCCCGGCCCGGGGCATCCCAGCCTGGGCCTGGCAATGCAGGCGCCTGGGGGGGCCCAGGGGGAAGGCTGGGGGTGGGGCCTGGGTCCCCCCAGAGACCCTGGCTGCGCCATGCCGCCCGCCCCAGCAGAGGGGCTGCCCCTGGCACTGTCCCGGCACCGGCGGGGACCCGCTGTGCGGAGGCTCCGCAGGGCCTGGGCCCGGAGCAGAGTTGAGTGGCTGGCGCCAGCGAAACCTCCCTTATCTCAGTGGGAAGTTGGGAGCAGGAAGCCCGGCTGAAAGTGGGATAAGGGCCCGTTTACATTAACCGCCTTTCCATGGAATTTGCTCCCACCCTCTTAAAGGGCCAACCCCCCAGCGTCAGCCTCGGGGAGCCCCCTCCCCACAGCCTGAGCCAGGGCCCTGGGCGCAGAGCTGGGGGGGCGAGGGGGAGCAGAGAGGGGGTGGACAGAGGTGGTATGGGGGTAACAGCGGGGTGGGCCAACGGGCGTGGGGCCGGCAGAGGTGGTATGGGCGTAGCAGCGGGGCCAGCGGGGCAGGCCGACAGGCGTGGGGCCGGCAGAGGTGGTAGGGGGTAGCAGCGGGGCCGGCGGGGTGGGCTGACGGGCGTGGGGCTGGCAGAGGTGGTATGGGGGTAGTGGCGGGGCGGGCCGACAGGCGTGGGGCTGGCTTCTCAGGCCAGTAGCCTCGGTGCCTTTGTGTGGCTGTGCGGGAGCCCAGACGGTGGGATTGGAGGCCTGGAGCCCGTCTCATCCCACAGTGCTCTGCCAGGGCCCTGCTCCCCCGAACCACGGGGAACCCAGGGGTGTGACAGCAAAACTGGACGACCCAGAGGAGACACCAAGATGGCCCCACGCTACAGAGCCCCTCAGTGCCCCACAGAGCCCCCCACCCAGCACTGCCGAGTCTGCCTGCCCCACAACACAGAGCCTCCCCCACTGGGCAGGGCAGACTCCGGCTTGAGGGGAAATGGGGGGAGTCGACCCCAAGGCAGCATGTGACCCCCCCATCCTGCTGGCCCCTCTGGCCAATTAATGCCGTGAATCAAACCAAAGATGGGGGTCTTCGTGTGAAAGGGGGAGGGGTGCTGTGAGCCCCGGGGTGAGCTGGTTGTGATGAGGGTCCTGGTACCTGCCCAGCTCCCGGCCCCTTGCCGCACTTTGCCGCCATCCGTCTCCTGTCTCTGGGGGCAGGGGCTGCTCCGGGCACCGCGTTTTGGGCCTTGTTCCCCTCTCAGAGCTCGCCCCTGCCCAGGGCTAGGCCCCTCCGGGGCTCCCCCTCAGCCCGCCCCCGCCCCCCGATCTGGGGATCTGCCCCCCTGGGGTTCCCCTCAGCCCATGCTCTCCCCGGTCTGGGGCTCTGCCCACCTGGGGCTCCTCCTCACCCCACGCTCCCCCCTGCCCCGGTCTGGGGCTCTGCCCCCCAGGTCCGCCTCAGCCCCAATCCCCCCTGTCCAGGTTCTGGCCCCCCGGGTCCCCTCAAACCCTCCTGCCTGGGGCTCTGCTCCCTGGGCTCCCCCTCCCCCCAGGGTCCCCCCTGCCTGGGGCTCTGTCCCCCAGGCTCCCCCTCCCCCCCAGCCCGGGGTTCCCCATTGCATTGTTTTCACTGAGCTCAGCTTCCCTCTGTGTAGCCCAGCCAAGGCGTCTGGGCAGCCTCTAATCAATTGATTCCCCCGGCTGGGAGGGCCGTGGGAGGGGAGCCGCCTGCAGGAAAAAGCCCTGGCCGCTGAGTGCGCCAGGCAGAAGTGTGCCAGCCGCCCGGAGAGCAGGGCCCCTCCACTGAGACCCAGCGCCGGGCACCGCACCCGCCTGCTGCCCCACAGTGAGTGAACCGCCCGCCCCACGGGCACCATCCCCTCCCCGCTTGGCCTCTTCCTGTGACACCCCAGCTCTGCCAACGGCCCCCAGCTGCCTTGCCTGGCACCTGGCGTATGCGTGTCACTGTGTGCACGCGTGTTTGTGAGCATGTGCTCTGTGTGCGTGTCAGTGAGCACTGTGCTGTGTGCGACTGCATGTTCACATATGTCAGGGCGTGTGCGTGCGCCAGGCGGTACATGTGTTAGGGTGTGTGTGCGTGTGTGTGTGCACACCGGGAGGCATGTGTGTCAGGACGTGTGTGTGTGTGTGCCAGGCACTACGTGTGTCAGGGAATGTGTGTGTCAGTGTGTGTGTGTGTGTGCGCCAGGCACGGTACGTGTGTCAGGACGTGTGTGTGCCAGGCACTATGTGTGTCAGGGAATGTGTGTGTCAGGATGTGTGTGTGTGTGCGCGCGCACCAGGTGCGGTACGTGTGTTAGGAAATGTGTGTGTATACCAGGCACTACGTGTGTCAGGCACTACGTGTGTCAGGACATGTGTGTGTGTACCAGGCACTACGTGTGTCAGACATTATGTGTGTGCGTGTGTGTGCCAGGCACTACGTGTGTCAGGGCATGTGTGTGTGTGTGTGTGTGTGTGTGTGCACGCGCCAGGCACTACGTGTGTCAGGGCATGTGTGTGTCAGGATGTGTGTGTGTGTGTGTGTACGCGCCAGGCACTCCGTGTGTCAGGCACTATGTGTGTGTGTCAGTGGCTGTGTCTCTTGGGGTGTCTGGGTGGGAGGCCGCCCAGACCAGGCCCTTGTCCCTCCTCCCTGCCCCGTCTTTGGCTCCATTTCTCTCCTCCGCCCCCTCCCAGCCCCCCCACCCCCCGGCCATAAATGCAGCTCATCACAGGCTGGGTCACTCAGATCCCCACCTGGGGAACGGGAGGTATGTGGGGAAGGGGGGGCAGGTCTGGGGGCTGGTGAGTGGGTACCTGTGTGTCCCTGCCTGAGGGAGGGGTGCGTGTGCTGTGGGCATGGGGGGGTTTGCTCTCTCCCTGGGGGGTCAGCACGGGGACCAGGCCCCAGTCCCAGCCGGGGCGCTCTGCCCCTCGCAGGGCCTAGCTACACACTCCGAGTGTGGACGCAGCGCTAGCGGGTGGAGGTATCCCGTCAGGGAGGGGTGAGCTGGCTGGGCAGGAGGCCCCGTCACTCCAGGGGGACTGGCCCGTCCCTGCCCAGGGCTGCACCCGTCACTAGACCAGGGGAGCTGCCCTGGGCAGTGCTGGCTCTGGAGATGGCCAGCAACGCTCAGCACGGCCTAGGGGAGCTGCTGCGTGGGTGTCAGTGTGTGTGTGTGACGGGGAGCAGCAACGTGTGTGTGACTGTGTGTGTGACGGGGAGCAGCAACGTGTGTGTGACTGTGTGTGTGCTGCAGTGTGTGTCTGCACAGGTATCAGGGTATGTGTGTGTGACAGTGAGCGGCAGCGTGTGTGTGCTGCATTGTGTGTCTGCACAGGTGTCAGGGTATGTGTGTGTGACAGTGAGCAGCAGCATGTGTGTGACTGTGTGTGTGACAGTGAGTGGCAGCATGTGTATGACTGTGTGTGCTGCATTGTGTGTTTGTACAGGTATCAGGGTATGTGTGTGTGACAGTGAGCGGCAGCGTGTGTGTGCTGCATTGTGTGTCTGCACAGGTGTCAGTGACTGTGTGTGTGACGGGGAGCAGCAGCGTGTGTGTGACTGTGTGTGTGACAGTGAGTGGCAGCATGTGTATGACTGTGTGTGCTGCATTGTGTGTCTGCACAGGTGTCAGTGACTGTGTGTGTGACGGGGAGCGGCAGCGTGTGTGTGACTGTGTGTGTGACAGTGAGTGGCAGCATGTGTATGACTGTGTGTGCTGCATTGTGTGTTTGTACAGGTGTCCATGTGTGTGTGACAGTGAGCGGCAACGTGTGCGTGACTGTGTGTGTGACTGAGCGGCGGCGTGTGTGTGACTGTGTGTGCTGCATTGTATGTCTGCACAGGTATCAGGGTATGTGTGTGTGACAGTGAGCGGCAACGTGTGTGTGACTGTGTGTGTGACGGGGAGCTGCAGTGTGTGTGTGACTGTGTGTCTGCACAGGTGTGTCTGTGACTGTGTGTGCTGCATTGTGTGTTTGTACCGGTGTCCGTGAGTGTGTGTGTGAGACAGTGAGCGACAATGTGTGTGTGACTGTGTGTGTGACAGTGAGCGGCAGCGTGTGTGTCTGTGTGTGCTGAATTGTGTGTCTGCACAGGTGTCAGGGTATGTGTGTGTGTGACGGGGAGCAGTATGTGTGTGCACAGGTGTCAGTGACTGTGTGTGTGACAGGGAGCAGCAGATGAGTGTCAGTGTGTGGCAGTGAGTGTGTC